AGTTAAGTGTGTGAGGAAGTGAATGAATAGACAAGGTCAGTCAGGTCTCTTGTGTAACATGAACTTGACATATATTGGACAGGCAAGTATTATGAAAACAAACTATGGTACCTAATATGATAAGCTTCCCAGTTTTATATCAAAGAGTCATTGGTGCAAATTCTTTCACATTGCATTAATAATCTTTCTTTTGTCTCCCCAACATTCACTTGAATTTCTGGGCTTTAATCTTTCATTAACCCTTTGAGGGTTTTGGTCGTACTAGTACGTCTTACGCGTAGGGGTTTTTGACGTACTAGTACGCATAAATTCTAGCGGCCTCAAATCTCGCAGGAAAAGGCTGATAAGCCTAGATGTGAGAGAATGGGTCTGTGTGGTGGGTGTGCGCAGTAGGAAAAAAATCTGGGACCCAGTGGTGCATTGTGGGAATGCCATCATAGTACACAATTTCCACCGTGCCCTGCGGTAAGAAGTTCCTCACTCCTTGGCGAATTGGGACACTTTTGTTCCCCAGTGACAGTTCTAATACAGATGGAAGTGACAGTGAAGATGAGTTTCAAGGTTCTGGTGAGGTTTTGACCGAAACTAATGACCATAATATGGGTAATAGTGAGGAAAACCCAGACAACCCACAGCCTTCCACCTCTGGTGCTGGGCCATCGTTCAGTTGTACCAGAATCAAAGAGGAAACTCCTATTTTCCAAAATCCCAGACTCAGATGTGAGCATTGGTGATGATAATGATAGTGATTATGAACTACAAGCTCTTCAAACTTGTTCCAAGAATGGAGGAGGAGGAGGAGGCAGAGGGGAGGAGGCAGAGGAGGTAGGAGGCAGGGAGACTAAATTATTTCAGCGCGGGTTTTTTACACCTTTTACTTTTCTTGCTAACACCCAGGAAAGGGATTTTTTAACAGTGTGGCTGGATCTTACACCCATTTTTTAAAAAACAGACACAGTGTTTGCAAGATCTTGAAACGGGGCTGAAATGCTCTTTTAAAACCTAAAGAAAGATTATTACATTTTAAAAACTATTTTTAAATTCTTTTGTTTTTGTTAATGTATTATGGAGTTCAGTATCCCTTTTGCCTTTCAAAAAGCATTTAAGGAAAATTTTGCTAAGGAAAAGGGTTGTTTACATCCCCCCCTGTCTAAAGGGAAGGGCGGGAATGATGCGGGTTTGGAAAAGTTTTTTTCTATGATGTTACCCACATTTTAGTAAAAAAATTATCTTATAAATGATGGGGAAAGGGGGTTTTTCTCTTTTTAAAAAAAGTCTATAATAGGGGGGAGTTTAGAAGCTTCATGACAGGTTTCTAATATAAATTGTTTCGTAATTTTTTAGAAAATTTTACTTCTTCTAGTTTATGTGGGTTTTTAAATTTTTATTGAATTATGGGTTTCTTCTCTTTTATTTAGTTTTAAGTATTTAGTGTCTATATGATTATATTTTCTATTTACACTTAGGGTTTACTACACATTCATGTACACATTTATTTTTTACCCCAAAAAATCTGAAAAATTTTCTTTATTTTATCTTAATGTTCTTTGGGCTATTACTTTTTCCCTTTTTTATCCATGGGGAAGGGGGGGGGGGGGGGAAAAAGGGAAACCCTTTTTTTCCGGGAAGCCCTGTTTTTGTAAAAGTCAACTTAAAAAACCGGGGAAAAATGGCTAGTAAACCCCCTTTTTCCCGTAAAGATTACTAAAAAAAAATAAGGGAAAAAGGAAAATTGTCAAAGTTTGGGGAAATCTGAAAAATGCGTTTGGTGTTGGCAAATGATTTGGGAAAAAGTTATTGTGGATTTTATGAAAGAAAGAAGTGGAGGGCCTGGTTTTTTTGAAACAAAACAAAGGGGGGTGGGAGAGTTTCAGGGAGAGGAAAAAATGGGGATTAGGTCAGGGGTTTTTAAATAGGTTAGAGTAAAGAAAGGGTAGCAATAATGTTAAGGATAAGCTTTTGGCAGGAAAAGAGGGGGCTAAAAATGTATTAATTCAAGGAATTTTGTGGGGAAAATAGAGATTGGATGTTGGGGAAAAATGGGTTATAAAAAGGGTGTAAAGCACCTGGGAAGAGAGAACTTTAAGGAAGAGAGAGGATTTTAAAAAATGTTTTAGTGAAAGGTGGGGATTTTGAATCAAGGTTTTTGAGGTAATTTTTTTTTTTTGGGGGTTTCAATGCTAAAATTTTGGGGAAAAAAGTTTTGGGGGGAAAAAAGTAGGTAAATTTGGGGGTGCCCCGGGGTTTAAAAGTAAATGGGGGGGCCTTTAAATTTTAGCTATGTGTAGAAAGAGATTTGGTTTAAAAAGTAATACATATTTTATGAAAAAGAGGGGTAAATAAAAAATAAAAAGGGATTTTTGTAGCAGTAATGAAAGTAGTTTTTTTTTGATTTTGTATTGGGGATAAAAAGGGGATGGGGAGGCTCCAGGTTGGGACAAGTTTATAGGGGGCAACTGATATATCGGATCATTATTTAGTTGTAGCTACAGTTAGAGTAAGAGGTAGATGGAAAAGAGGAAGGTGGCAACAACAAGTAAGAGGGAGGTGAAAGTGTATAAACTAAGGGAGGAGGAAGTTCAGTGAGATATAAGCAACTATTGGCAGAAAGGTGGGCTAGTGCAAAGATGAGTAGTGGGGGGTTGAAGAGGGTTGGAATAGTTTTAAAAATGAAGTATTAGAATGTGGGGCAGAAGTTTGTGGTTATAGGAGGGTGGGAGCAGGAGGAAAGAGGAGTGATTGGTGGAATGATGAAGTAAAGGGTGTGATAAAAGAGAAAAAGGTAGCTTATGAGAGGTTTTTACAAAGCAGAAGTGTTATAAGAAGAGCAGAGTATATGGAGAGTAAAAGAAAGGTAAAGAGAGTGGTGAGAGAGTGCAAAAGGAGAGCAGATGATAGAGTGGGAGAGGCACTGTCAAGAAATTTTAATGAAAATAAGAAAAAATTTTGGAGTGAGTTAAACAAGTTAAGCAAGCCTAGGGAAAGTATGGATTTGTCCCGTTAAAAACAGAGTAGGGGAGTTTAGTAGATGGGGAGATGGAGGTATTAGGTAGATGGCGAGAATATTTTGAGGAACTTTTAAATGTTAAGGAAGAAACAGAGGCAGTAATTTCATGCACTGGTCAGGAGGTATACCATCTTTTAGGAGTGAAGAAGAGCAGAATGTAAGTGTAGGGGAGGTACGTGAGGCATTACGTAAAATGAAAGGGGGTAAAGCAGCTGGAACTGATGGGATCATGACAGAAATGTTAGAAGCAGGGGGGGATAATGTGTTGGAGTGGTTGGTACTTTTGTTTAATAAATGTATGAAAGAGGGGAAGGTACCTAGGGATTGGCGGAGAGCAAAGTATAGTCCCTTTATATAAAGGGAAAGGGGACAAAAGAGACTGTAAAAATTATAGAGGAATAAGTTTACTGAGTATACCAGGAAAAGTGTATGTTAGGGTTATAATTGAAAGAATTAGAGGTTTAAAACAGAATGTAGGATTGCGGATGAGCAAGGGGGTTTCAGAGTGGGTAGGGGATGTGTAGATCAAGTGTTTACTTTGAAGCATATATGTGAACGTATTTAGAAAAAAGGTGGGGAATTTTTTATTGGTTTTATGGTTTAAAAAAGGGATATGATAAGTGAAGAGAAGCAATGGGAGATGTTGCAAGTTATTGAATAGGGGTAAGTTATTAAATGCTGTAAAGAGTTTTTATGGGGATAGTGGGCCAGTTAGGGTGGAAAGAGGGGGAGATATTTCCGGGAAAAAATAGGTCTTGACAGGGATGGAAAGTCCCTGGTTGTTTAATATATTTTTAGTGGGGTTGTTAAAAGTAAATGCTAGGGTGTTCGGGAGAGGGGGGGGGATTAAATTTTTTGGGGAATCAAATTTAAAGTGGGAAATTTACACAGTTACTTTTTCGGATATGTGCTTATGGAGATTTTAAAGAAAAATTGCAAGGTTAGGGATAGTTTTGGGAATTTGTAAAGGGAGAAAGTTAAAAGGAAAATAGAAAAAAAAAGTAAGGTGATGAGGGGTTTAAATATTTAGATAAAGAAAAATTGGGGTATCAAAATTGGGGGGAGGAGTATGGAAGAAGTGAATGTTTCAGATTTTGGGAGTTGCGTGCGGCGGATGGGTTTATGAAAATGAGGTTAATCTAAAAAAGATGGGGAAAAAAGGTGAGTGGGCGTTTGGGGAATTGAGCCAAAAAAATTATCTTGGAGGCAAAGAAGGGAATGTAGAAATATAGTAGTCCAACACCTTTTGGGGGATGTGAACTTGGGTGTAAATACAGCGCGAGGGGCGGGTTTGGAGGCGTGGAGATGTCCTGTTTAAGGGGAATGTGTGGGGTAAAAATTATCAGAAAATTCGGAGTATGGAAATTAGGAAAAAGGTGTGGAGTTAAAAAAAAGTATTGTCAGAGGGGGGAAAAAGGGGTTGTTAGGTGGTTTGGTCATTTAGAGGGAAAGGATCAAAGTAAAAAACATGGAAAGATATAAATCTATAGGGAAGGAAGGGGGGTAGGGGGCGCCTCAAAAGGTTTGGAGAAGGGGTAAAGGGAGGTTTTGTGGGCAAAGGGGGTTGGGCTTCCACAAGCGGCGTGAGCGTGTTAGATGGGTTTAATGGAGAAATGGTTTCTTTGGGACCTGACGATCTGTTGGAGTGTAGCGGGGAAATTTTGTAGGGATTTAGGGAAAACCCGGTTTTTTTTTCAAAGTCAACTTGAGTCCTGGAAATGGGAATACAATCCGCATTTAAAAGGGGGGTTTTTGGGGTATTGGCATTTTGGGGGGATGTGTTTTGGGAACTTTTTATGTTATGCTTTTTAAACTTTTTATTCTGAGCACCTTTCATAAGAAAAAAAAACTATTTTTTAATAAGAAAAAATAATTTTTTTTTTTTCTTGAAATTTGGCCGACCCTGAGAACGAGTTTCGGAGAGGGCCTGTCGACCCTCAAAGGGTTAATAACCACTTCAGCACTGAATGATTTTTTTTTTTGTTAATTTCAGGGTGCAGGATGGCACCGGGAACAGATTCCACGTTATCAGCCACTGGTGGAACCTCATAACAAGGAGGTGAACGCTCCTCTTAAGCTAGTGTGGAAGTTGGTAGCAGCGTTACCTCAAGAGTGCCGTGCTGTGCTTGCAGCTGTTGATGCTACTCATCTTACAGCTGCTGGATCTTATACACCTGTTACTGTCTTGCTAACACCACAGGTAAGATCTTTACAGTGTGGCTGGATCTTACACACAGGTAAGATCAGCACACAGTGCTGCAAGATCTTGCACAGCTGTTATGCTCCTTTTAACACATCAAGTAAGATTATTACATATACAAATCTATCTTAAATTCTATTTGTTCATTGTTAATGTATCTATAGAGTTCAGTATGCCTTGTCTTCAAGAATGCAGTAAGGTAAATTTGCTCAGGAAAATGCATGTTTACATCCCCACCTGTCTGAAGGAGGGGCAGGAATGATGCAGTTTGAAAAGTTTTCTTAGCTATGATGTTACCACATTTCTAGTAAAAAAATTATCTTATAAATGATGGTGAAAGTGTTTCTCTTGTTAAAAATGTCCTATAATAGAGGGAGATACGAAGCTTCATGACAGTGTTCTCTAATATAAATTGTTTCATAATTTTAGCAAATTTTACTTGCTTCTAGTTTATGTAGGTTTTATTTTTATTGAATTATAGGTTACTTCTCTTTTATTTAGTTTTAAGTATTTAGTGTCTATATGATTATACTTCTACTTACACTTAGGTCTCACTACACATACATGTACACATTTATTTATACACACTCATCTGAGTTTTCTTTGATTTTATCTTAATAGTTCTTGGTCTTATTACTTTTCCTTTTATATCCATGGGGAAGTGGAATAAGAATCTTTCCTCCGTAAGCCATGCGTGTTGTAAAAGTCAACTAAAATGCCGGGAACAATGAGCTAGTAACCCCTTTTCCTGTAAAGATTACTAAAAAGAATAAGAAGAAGAAAATTGTCAAAGTGGGAAGTCTGAATGTGCGTGGATGTTGTGCAAATGATAAGAAAGAGATGATTGTGGATGTTATGAATGAGAAGAAGCTGGATGTCCTGGCTTTAAGTGAAACAAAGCTAAAGGGGGTGGGAGAGTTTCAGTGGAGAGGAATAAATGGGATTAGGTCAGGGGTTTCAAATAGAGTTAGAGCTAAAGAAGGAGTAGCAATAATGTTGAAGGATAAGCTATGGCAGGAAAAGAGGGACTATAAATGTATTAATTCAAGGATTATGTGGAGTAAAATAAAGATTGGATGTGAAAAGTGGGTTATAATAAGGGTGTATGCACCTGGAGAAGAGAGAAGTGTAGAGGAGAGAGAGAGATTTTGAGAAATGTTGAGTGAATGCGTGGGGAGTTTTGAATCAAGTGTGAGAGTAATGGTGGTTGGGGATTTCAATGCTAAAGTGGGTAAAAATGTTATGGAGGGAGTAGTAGGTAAATTTGGGATGCCAGGGGTAAATGTAAATGGGGAGCCTTTAATTGAGCTATGTGTAGAAAGAGATTTGGTAATAAGTAATACATATTTTATGAAAAAGAGGATAAATAAATATACAAGGTATGATGTAGCACGTAATGAAAGTAGTTTATTAGATTATGTATTGGTGGATAAAAGGTTGATGGGTAGGCTCCAGGATGTACATGTTTATAGAGGGGCAACTGATATATCGGATCATTATTTAGTTGTAGCTACAGTTAGAGTAAGAGGTAGATGGGAAAAGAGGAAGGTGGCAACAACAAGTAAGAGGGAGGTGAAAGTGTATAAACTAAGGGAGGAGGAAGTTCGGGTGAGATATAAGCAACTATTGGCAGAAAGGTGGGCTAGTGCAAAGATGAGTAGTGGGGGGGTTGAAGAGGGTTGGAATAGTTTTAAAAATGCAGTATTAGAATGTGGGGCAGAAGTTTGTGGTTATAGGAGGGTGGGGGCAGGAGGAAAGAGGAGTGATTGGTGGAATGATGAAGTAAAAGGGTGTGATAAAAGAGAAAAAGGTAGCTTATGAGAGGTTTTTACAAAGCAGAAGTGTTATAAGAAGAGCAGAGTATATGGAGAGTAAAAGAAAGGTAAAGAGAGTGGTGAGAGAGTGCAAAAGGAGAGCAGATGATAGAGTGGGAGAGGCACTGTCAAGAAATTTTAATAAAAATTAAGAAAAAATTTTGGAGTGAGTTAAACAAGTTAAGAAAGCCTAGGGAAAGTATGGATTTGTCAGTTAAAAACAGAGTAGGGGAGTTAGTAGATGGGGAGATGGAGGTATTAGGTAGATGGCGAGAATATTTTGAGGAACTTTTAAATGTTAAGGAAGAAAGAGAGGCAGTAATTTCATGCACTGGTCAGGGAGGTATGCCATCTTTTAGGAGTGAAGAAGAGCAGAATGTAAGTGTAGGGGAGGTACGTGAGGCATTACGAAAAATGAAAGGGGTGTATAAAGCAGCTGGAACTGATGGGATCATGACAGAAATGTTAAAAGCAGGGGGGGATAATGTGTTGGAGTGGTTGGTACTTTTGTTTAATAGATGTATGAAAGAGGGGAAGGTACCTAGGGATTGGCGGAGAGCATGTATAGTCCCTTTATATAAAGGGAAAGGGGACAAAAGAGACTGTAAAAATTATAGAGGAATAAGTTTACTGAGTATACCAGGAAAAGTGTATGTTAGGGTTATAATTGAAAGAATTAGAGGTAAGACAGAATGTAGGATTGGGGAAATGAGCAAGGAGGTTTCAGAGTGGGTAGGGGATGTGTAGATCAAGTGTTTACATTGAAGCATATATGTGAACAGTATTTAGATAAAGGTAGGGAAGTTTTTATTGCATTTATGGATTTAGAAAAGGCATATGATAGAGTGGATAGAGAAGCAATGTGGCAGATGTTGCAAGTATATTGAATAGGTGGTAAGTTATTAAATGCTGTAAAGAGTTTTTATGAGGATAGTGAGGCTCAGGTTAGGGTGTGTAGAAGAGAGGGAGGGCTACTTCCCGGTAAAAGTAGGTCTTAGACAGGGATGTGTAATGTCACCATGGTTGTTTAATATATTTATAGATGGGGTTGTTAAGGAAGTAAATGCTAGGGTGTTCGGGAGAGGGGGTGGGATTAAATTTTGGGGAATCAAATTCAAAGTGGGGAATTGACACAGTTACTTTTTGCTGATGATACTGTGCTTATGGGAGATTCTAAAGAAAAATTGCAAAGGTTAGTGGATGAGCTTGGGAATGTGTGTAAAGGTAGAAAGTTGAAAGTGAACATAGAAAAGAGTAAGGTGATGAGGGTATCAAATGATTTAGATAAAGAAAAATTGGATATCAAATTGGGGAGGAGGAGTATGGAAGAAGTGAATGTTTTCAGATATTTGGGAGTTGACGTGTCGGCGGATGGATTTATGAAGGATGAGGTTAATCATAGAATTGATGAGGGAAAAAAAGGTGAGTGGTGCGTTGAGGTATATGTGGAGCCAAAAAACATTATCTATGGAGGCAAAGAAGGGAATGTATGAAAGTATAGTAGTACCAACACTCTTATATGGATGTGAAGCTTGGGTGGTAAATACAGCAGCGAGGAGAGGGTTGGGGGCAGTGGAGATGTCCTGTTTAAGGCAATGTTTTGGTGTAAATATTATGCAGAAAATTCGGAGTGTGGAAATTAGGAAAAGGTGTGGAGTTAATAAAAGAAATTTAGTCAGAGGGCAGAAGAGGGGTTGTTGAGGTGGTTTGGTCATTTAGGGGGAAAATGGATCAAAGTAGAATGACATGGAAAGCATATAAATCTATAGGGGAAGGAAGGCGGGGTAGGGTCATCCTAAAAAGGGTTTTGGGAAAGAGGGGGGGTAAAGGAGGTTTTTGTGGGCAAGGGTTGGACTTCCAGCAAGCGTGCGTGAGCGTGTTAGATAGGAGTGAATGGAGACGAATGGTACTTGGGACCTGACGATCTGTTGGAGTGTGAGCGGGGTTTAATATTTAGTGAAGGGATTCAGGGAAACCGGTTATTTTCATATAGTCAGACTTGAGTCCTGGAAATGGGAAGTACAATGCCTGCACTTAAAGGAGGGTTTGGGATATTGGCAGTTTGGAAAGGGATGTGTTGTGTATCTTTATATGTGTATGCTTCTAAACTGTTGTATTCTGAGCACCTCTGCAAAAACAGTGATAATGTGCGAGTGTGGTGAAAGTGTTGAATGATGATGAAAGTATTTTCTTTTTGGGGATTTTCTTTCTTTTTTGGGTGACCCTGCCTCGTGGGAGACGGCCGACTTGTTGAAAAAAAAAAAAAAATTATTTGATTTTTCATGTTGCACATACTATGACTGTAACACGTACGACCAAATTCTTAAAATGAATGCATGTTCCAGAAAGCATATTTAAATAGTTTGACCATCACTATTCCAGCACCATCGAGACCTGTAGGGTGCCGGATTAGTGATTTTGCCAGATTACAGAGTGGTTAGGTTAGAATACACTTCACCCAACAGTGCTATGTATGCTTCGGCGATTTCACCCACTTTATGCCCTAGTTTTGGCCCATTACATTGTTCCAGTCTACCAAACTCATAGCTATTTCACTAGTATTCCTTCTATTCTGTTGACTGAGTACAAGAAACTGCCCATTTACCTATTTCAGTTACCCAGTGAAGTGGTCAGAAATTAGTAATTTAGCCAATTTTACACAAATTTCAGGAGATGCCAGTTTCAAAATAGGGTCCAGAATAAGCAATGCAGACATTCCTGGCACTAAAATAACATTTTCTGTTCATTAGTCATGTCTCCATTTTGAATTTTTATTCACACAAAAAATAGAAGATTACTGTTATGGAGACTACTGCATTATTGCAATAATTCTATAAATAATGTCAATGCCATTCATGACTGGCCAGTTGGACACATATTAGATTTTTTTTTTTTTAACCCTTTCAGGGTTTCCGACATATTAGTACGGCTTACGCACCAGGGTTATTGACGTACTAGAATGACTAAGGTTGCAAGGGATTCAAAGACTAACCCAAAAGGGTTGTTTCAGGTATACAGAAGTAAGATTAGGGACAAGATAGGTCCTCTTAAGAGTAACTCTGGTCAGATCACTGACAGTGATAAGGATATGTGCAAAATTCTCAGTACCTACTTCCTCTCAGTTTTCACCCAGGAAAATACTAGCGATATTCCTGAAATATTAGATTATGTAGAACAGGACGATAA